CGGTCGCTCTTCTCCTCCTTCTCTTCCTCCTCCTCCTCGCCAGTGACCGCCGAATAGTTCCGCCCGTGGGCGCGTCGCTGCATTTAGATGGAAATCTGATGGGTCTCTAACGCTGGGTAGACGATTACATTCCTGGCATTATGCTGTTTCATCGGGGGATCCCGACCGCGATCTGTCCTAAGAATCCCCGGTATTTTGCATCGTAGCGCGTCTAATCCGCGCCGTGATTTCGACGACGCGCTTCTCGGCCCATCAGTTATGAGTCGTTGCTCGTAATTCGCGAGGGAGACTCCAGGTGCGCGCGCGCGCGCGATTCTTACGTGTGATTACGGCGTGTCGTCGTGTTAGATCAATCTAATCGCGAGATAAGCCGCTCCGGGTTTCGCGGCGCGCCACCTCGTCTCGTGCGGAAGCACCGGAGAAGATATCGTGAACATAATTCGGGCGAGTTGTCGAGGCACTCCTCCGGAGTCCTCGACACGCGACGTGAGCTTAACGCGGAGAAAGTGTAATCTGAAATCGCGTCAACGTTTTGGAACGTAACAACGTTGTCCCGCGTATCTCACACTTAACGTGTGACGCGGCACGGGAGTCTCATTTCCTGTCCGAGTTAACATTGTGCGCGCGATCGTCCTGCCAGAGAGAGAGAGAGAGAGAGAGAGAGAAAGAGAGAGAGAGAGAGGTAGAAAAGAAGGAGAGAAAGAGAAAAAAGAATCCCGAAGCGAGCGGGCCGCTTTTGGTCCCGAACGCGAATTACGAGTGCAAATCTCGGAAAAGAATCCTGGACCTGGAAATAGCTCGAGGAGCTTCTGCTGAAAAATATATCTCGGGTTTCGAATTCGATCGTTCTCCCCCGCGTGTGAATTGCCGCGGGAATCAATGGCAATAATGATTGTATCATTAACAATTTAATGGCTCTATCGCTGTAGATTACTGCTGGGGATCGTTATCTGATATTCGCGAATTTTGCAGAATCGGTGTGCAAATTTTCGGTTTGCGGTTTTCATCCTCCCCGGATCGAATGCGCTTCGGTCACTTCTTCCACGCAGACGATTGTACGACGCGGAATAATGAATCGTAATTTAGCGGGTCCCTCGCGATATCCACGCGTGGGACGTGATTGAACCGTTAATTAGTCTCGAATTAAACGGCTCGATGCGGTCCGCTTGCGATTTTACAATTTTACAATGCAATTTCTCGGACAATGCACATTCTTCGATAGGCGCTTCGTTCACTCGCTCGCTCGCTCGCTCGCTCTCTCTCTCTCTGGTCTGTCCGTTCGTTCGTTCGTCGCGAGAATTGATGGCATTTTTTGCTTCGTTAGAGCTACTCGGGGGAGAACGCGAACGAGAGAGCGGGAGAGAAATTAATTACTTATTCCTCTAAGTCTCACCCGCGCAAAGTGATTATCTGTTGGCACAATTGTCTGTCGGCGGCGTCGAATTAAGCCGTTCAATTTGAAGTATTTGTAGTTTTCCGCCTCGCTACCCACATAGAAAATATTTTGGGATCTAATAGGGATTTCGCAATTATCATAGGTTCTACGTGGGAAATCTATGCAGGTTTTGGTTGGAAGTGTGATGTTTTAAACATGCGAATCTAAGGGGGAGATCTGTGTAGGAGATTCACACAGATTCCATTTAGTTGTTCTCAAAGTTTTCCCAAAGATTCTTTCTCTAGTTTACATTTTAAACTAAAATTGAGCAAAATATATGGAACACTTTCAGTATTTACTCGTTACTTGAAGTATATGTACACATACATACTTGTAAAGAGTAAATACTCAAAGTGTTTGCGAAAAAAATCGTCATGAAGAAATTGTAATAGGTGTTTGAATTAAAAAAGTAAAAAATACTTAATAAATTATATAAATATTTGATAAATTTTTCTGACTTATACAAATATATGAAATCGCCAAATTATCCTCAGATGTACAATACGTTACATATAAAATGAAAATATATTATTTTACGTTTTAACATGGAATAATGTAAGTCAGAGAAAACATTTGTATTATCTTTATTGCATTAATGAAACTGATATAGAAAACAGTTAAAAAAAGCTCGAGTTTTCTTAATAGTTCTATTCCGATTTTTGATAGAGAATCTATGTTTGGAACAAGAATGAAATCCTCAATTGAAATCGTAATGGGATTATCAATTTTGGGACAAAGTTGGATATTCTATTTGGAGTTTAATTTACATTTGGGAAAATATTAAGAAATTTCTATGCGGCTAATTTTATGTGGCATTTTAAACGACACGCGGAGGTCATTGCAAAATTGTGACGTTATTTCTGGTCTCGCGGCGGTGTTTTTAAGCAAACGAAAAACGCAACTGCATAATGGCCGCTGTCTATTTGCAGTTTGATTTTGCAATTTTTAATTAGTGATTTGCAGGTCACAGGGCGCAGGCATTCGCCGTCGCCCGGCAGAGCGCGAGGCGATATTTCCGAAATTGCGAAATCGCGTTATCGTTCTCATTATTCTAGCGGGGAGGGTCTTTTCGTATTTGTTGAATCGTTAACGCGATGCACGATGTATCTCGCGACAATTGCAAAAGCGCAAATTACGATTGTGCGACAGGACGGGGTGGGAGGGAGGAGGGAGAGGAGAGAAGAACGCGTTTACAAAATGCAACGAATGTTTCGAAAACGCTCTGCGCTGATTTCGCAGTTTTCAAGTGGTTGTTATTTCCCAAGTAATTGCATTATACGCAGACGACGGTGAAGTTACGTCCCGAGAAATGTGTCCCTCGATAATCTACTTTAATTGGTACCGGATACAGGCGCGCGAACTATCGCCGCGCTTTAAAGTTGTCTCGCGAATGCCGTCGAGAGATTTACGGGGAAACGCAAGTTTTAATATATTAGAGGACGCGAGCGTCCTTACAACCGTCTTTCTAGCGCGTCCCCAGCCAGGTAAATGGTCAGGTAAAGAGTGGATATGCGAGGGGAAAGGGAGCTGAACCTCGAATGAACTCTTTCGTTTCACGGAAAGTGATGTTACTGCCATTTCACTCCCTAGAAGTTTGTTCCATCATCCTGATAAAGTGGGTTCCAATTAGTTATTTCATTTATGCAAGATGATGTTATCGCGTCCTAATTATTGACAAAGTTCCAATTATCAACAATTCTTGTTATTTTTTTTATTCTTACAAAAGAAAACGGTTGGCCCACACATAAATTTGGTTACGTTAAACCGATTCAATAGTAAAGTAGAGAACTAATTATGTGGTTGCTGCAACCACAAAGCAATTGCTGAGTCATTCGCGTCGCAACAGTCACGATATCTAGTTACTCTAGAGTATATCTATGGGGTAAATGTCACTCCGAATGCGCGATTTCTGGTTGCCACAATCGGATCACGCACAACTGCATTGATGTAGTTGATGTATCAAAGTGGCTGAGTTATATCAACCATACGCATTACCATCGTGCAAAAACTAGGGTGATGCGGCTATGCTGCTTACAGCTAAATGTTTATGTGAGAAGTCGATCAGGACCACGAGATGGATTTTTAATCGAGTCGTTACTTTTTTCTCCAAACTATAACTCGGCGTTTCGCTTCCGAACTATAATATCGACCGGGAGGCGTCCTCATATCGGAGTTAATGGAATCGCGCGATTCGATATATCACGATATAAACACGAGATACGATATAACGAGGTGGCGGAGGGATAATGTCGGCGACGACGACAACGGCAAGTATTTGGAAATAAACTTGTTGCGCGACCTATCGGTGAATAAAACTCTAGCTAGGGTACGTAAAACTCGATTAAACGATAGTCGCGGTATTGAACGCGCCGCGTTCTGTCACTCCGCTGTGTGTGATAATGGACGAGCTCTGTCTCGTGCGTCGAAAACTCCGACAAGAAACACACTGTATGCCCGGCGCGTTGCGATGGATACGTGCGCGATGTGAGAATATATTTTTTCCTCCTGCTACTTTTCCTCCTTCTCCACCTCCTTCTCCTGCTACTGCTGTTGCTGCTCTCCCTCTCTCGATTTTTGTCGGTCGAATTATCCTGCGACGGAAGCAATTGCATCGCCGGATGAAATATTTTCCCACCTGCCTTCCTCTCCTTTCCGTCGCTTCCACGAGGGGCGTCGCTAAAAACATTTCGCGAGGACGGGACAGAGGGAAAGAGACGACGCTTTTTCTCCGGTGTGTGGGCATTTTTTTATGTTCTGTGTGTGTGTTTTTTTAAAGAGGGAGAGGGAGGAAACAGCGGCGTGATTACGCCGAATGCGCGCGCGGCGTCAGCTATCGGGGAGAGTTTGAGCGGCAACGTACACGAGCCGCGCAGTTGGAATTGCGTGCGTGTTGCTGGAGGTGAGAAAGGAAAATCAGCAGAATAGAATTCTAGAGGGGGGTGCAGAGAGAGAGAGAGAGAGAGAGAGAGAGAGAGAGAGAGAGAGAGAGAGAGAGCCGCAGAATGGGTAACGCGAGCCGCGCGTTACATTTGCAAGGGCCGCAATTTTCGGAAATCGTGATATCGTGCTGTTACGTGAGCAAATTCTGGATCGGAAAATAAACGATGTTTCACAGCTGATAAACTTGAGCGTCGGTGGACCAGTGTTTACCGCTTGCCTAGTGCTTAATACAGCAATTGCTCCGCGAATGAGAAGATTATATCCCCGACCCCGCAAAGGGAAATTGAAATTTTCCAAATTTAGCGTCGCCGATATCGGCGACATTTCGGACTCTGGAAACTCGTACAAATTCGGTGTACTTTCGAAATTAAAAGAATTTTGGTCGTTCCGCGCTGGACCTCAGGGCAGTATGTTTCGACTCGTTTCTAAAGTTCTGCGGAGCGCGTACTAAAGATTCCTTTAAGAAACCCTACATACTTCTCTTCGTTGCGATCTGGTACTCGTAAGAAACGGGTGCATAGAAAGAATGCGCGACTTTCGCGGTAGCAAATAAGGAATGTAGACTGCGTGCGAGCAGGGCTCGTGATTTATCGATGAGTCAACGTGTCGACTTTCGTGTTCGCAGGTTTGACGAGGCAAAACCGGCGGCGGCGACGAATGAGAAGTTGAGAAGCAGAGGACGAGTTCGGTCGGCGATGAGAGTTTGAGTCGCGCGGAAAGTGCTTTCAAGAGTGCCTGGGCCCTGGTTCGCGTGTTTCGTCAACGAGAGAAGAACAGAGAGAGAGAGAGAGAGAGAGAGAAAGAGAGAGAGAAAGAGAGCGGAAGACGACGACGAGTGCTGTAAAAAGGAAGCTAAGAGGGGGCGAGTGTGTCGCTGACACGAGTTGACGCGACGCGACACGACGTGACGCGGCGTGACGTGACGTCGGGGCGTCGAGATGCCTCGAGATGAGATGGCCACCCCCGTTGGAACCCTCGCGTCACTTCTCACGCTTCTGCTGTGTGCTTCCAGTAGCTGCCACGCCAGGATAACCAATCAGGAAATCGGTGAGTGGCTAAGGGCAAAATAATTTATGATTAACGATCGGATGTCCCACGAGACGCGATGGGCGCAAAACGAATTTATTATACATTTATTTAAATCCGCGATCTCTCTCGGGTCGAGCGTAATTAAGCGCTCGAAGAAATTTCCATGCGCGACGACACACTTTGGACATTGGTAGCGAAACAAGAAAACGAGAACAGAACGGGACTCGTTATGTTGATCCCCGGGGCGTCTTGATCGTTCTAATGCATGTTTTTATATATACCCGAGTCGAAATTTGGAATTTACCACAAATTCCATCATTTTGTGCTTTTAATGTAGCGCTTCAAAGTGAATCTAAATCGAAATATCTTCATAGCATTGCTGGGCGCTCAAATCTTTGCCTTTAAATTTCTTTTTTTCGAATTTTCGCGAAAAAATAAGAATAAATCACTACTAATAAGATTGTGTAATTTATCGTTTTGCACATGTTTTTATCATTGTCACATTTTGATATTTACTTACCGCGTATTCTGCAGCGAAGCAAACTATATAATCAGTAGATCGCTCACGTTGAAATTGAAAATGGAGATCAAACGCGGACAGTACAGAATAGAACGCGAAAATATTGAGAGATGGTTAAATTTTAAGTCACTTCCAATATCCGTTTTCAAAAAATTCTCACAACATGGAGCCTTTTCTGAAACTCCAATACGGAAAAATGAGACGAACAATCATGTGTGGCAGTAACGGAGGATCAGATAGCCTGTGATATTAGGTGCCGAGGTTCTCAATTGGTTGGGCATGTTCCACGGAGACTCGTAGAGTCAACGTAGAACCCAAATTTCGACCCGGGTGTGTGCGGTCACGCGAAACACCGATGAACACTCCTCCTCGTCAGATATTAGTTTCTGCGGAGCGAGACGCGTCTCTCCCGACGCGTTTTTCCAACGTCAGTAAATATGCGTCTCCATATCTTCGATCTAGAGAGAGTTGCAACTTACGATCCTCCACGGCAGAGCCATTGTCGGTGCTCAGAGGAGAGAAAAAAAAAATAGTCGATGCGAATAAATCCGCGGCGGAATGCAGGTTTTTTTTCTCTTTTTTTATTCGGTAAAAGCTCGGCGTGTGGTTTGAAAAATGGACGAAAATCGCGTGCGAATGCACGCTCATGGGGAACGCGCGCTTTTTTCTCCCCAATATGTATCGGTAATATAAATACGGTCGGTCGTTACGTCATATCGACGCTGCCCAGCGCGATATTGAATTTGTGGTGTGGCTATATGCGGCGTTTCCGAAGAGTTAAATAATGGAGAGTGCGTCGGTGTTCCGCGTGTTTTCATTGGCCGCGAATCTCCATGGGACGTTGTGCCATTCGTCGATCGCGATCGGACGATCGCAGTGAGACGTCTGAGAAGCACCAGCAGTGCTCCACGAGGAGTCTCCACAGGAGAAAGTGGAAATCACGACGATATCCCGTAACCCTCTCGTGCGAGATTCAACGCCGAAAATACGCGGATTCGCCGTTGAAGCGACGGATATCGATTGCTCATTACGCGATCCCCCGTTTAAACGCCATCGAGCGCCGTGACGCGCCGCGAGCGTTGAATGAATCAATCACCCTTGTGTTAATAGATAATAATTCTGACGGCGGGGATTATTATCCCGTTGGTTGTTGCGCGCAATTCAACGTTGGCGCAACGTTAAAGTGCACAATTTGCCTCTCATTTTCGACGTGTTTGTTGCGCTATTATTCCCTCGGCCGTGTAATGGGCCATTTCGCGATTAGATTTGAATTCGATCTGTCTATTGGCAGATTTCGAATCTGTCTCGCCTTAAGTAATACCACAAGCCGCTAAGCGCGTTACATCCGCTTCTCTCTCGGGCGATCGGATATTTCGTAGCAAAGAGGAGCGGCCAAATTCTCTTAAGTTTTTAACTCCATTTTGCAACATTCGAGATTTTTCGATATTATTTCTTGATAAAATTGCACCTATTGTGTGATAATATTGGTAGACTGAAGATATATATGTATCAAAGTGGAATGTTTCTCGCCATTTGGGAGAAAATGGATCAAAAAGATACCTTTATGGAAAACGCGTATAGGAAGTGTTGCAAGAAATGGGACGAATGAAAATCTTTATCAGCAAAATAATACGGATTATAAATGCTAATTACTTAAATTTAAGATGACTAACCAAGTTTCGATTCACTTAATCGTCGATTAATTTCGTCGTAATCAGCAAATAGCTGCACTGAGAAAAATTTCTGGTAATAATTATCCAGCCTGTGTTATAATTAGTACATTTAGTAAAATAGTATCAACTAAATATAAGAAGTGAATATTACTATATGAAAGTTAATGTTACTTTAAGTTAATGTAACAATTAAAGTTTAAAGTTAATGTAACATGTAATTTTATAATTATTATAATAATTATTATAATAATAATTATTATTATAGTATATGTAATTTTGTAATTATTATCAAACATTGGTAACATTTACCATTATTGGTTACTATTTACCAAATGGTATGGTAAAACGCATTTGGTAAGTATTATCAAACTTTTTTTTCAATGTGTTGGTCAATTTTGTACTTTTTACGATCGTGCTTACCTTCAGGAGTTTCAGTTTGGACGCGGAAGCGCGAAGGAAAGAAACGCCTTTATCTAGGAGAAGCTAATGGGATTGTATAATGTTTCCGGCACCGGGACACACTTTTCCCTATATCATTTTCCCCTCACGCCTCGCGTTTAATATGTTTCGCGGCGCGGCCGTGGAACTCCGAGGCGAGATGTACCCCCACGCGCGCGTTATACGCACACAGGCACACATATTTCTTAATAATTCCGACTTTCTTTTTGCTTGGACGGACGGAGGCACGCGCAGCTCTTTGCGAGTCGGACATTATTCCAATTTTCGCCAGAGCGTCGCGCCGCTTTGTGTACCGCGGGACAAAGCGACGTATACTTTTGTTGCTAACGTGGCAATTGAATCACCCGGTGACAAAAGCCACCGGGTATGCCGACCGCGTAATTTCGTTCCTCGGGCGTGAAAATGAGGGGTTTTTAACCCATTTTACACACCGCGGGTCTAACGAGATCGCCGTGTCGTCGTTATTTCGTGGACCATCAAGGCCGGGCGTCGCGCTGCATGCGAAAAGAAAATGCGCGGCGGACTGTTTCAGGATTCGCCCACCCTTCCCGCTCTTCTTTCTCCCTCTTTCCCTCCCTCTCTTCCTACTTTTCTGGCTTCCACCAGCGCGAAATTACATCGTCGTCCTTCGAGACGCGGCCACGAATTTTCCGCCGATAAATCATTTCATCGAGATTGAGATTGTTAGAGGTAGCTGTGCTCTCGCACACTGAGTCGCCATTCCGATGTAATTGTGAAAATGCGTTTAATTGTATCTGTGGCCGGGGTTAAATTAAATTGGTACAGTCGGGGCGCGAGAATACGTGTTATCCACAGGGCAAAATTTAATGTGGAGATTTCCGTCGACGACAGCGCATCTCCTTGTAAAAGTCTTGCAACAGGTATTGGACTATTACAAATTAATGATAATTTTTGACTTGATAAAACTTCACTCGGGCCATTAAGAGTTGGTAGCTTCGATATACGAACGATATCGCCTTTTGACGGAGTTCTCGACGATGCTTCGAGAGATCGTAGTTTACGAAATTTTTTTAACGTCGCAACCCGCAAAAGTTACGAGAATTCGAAAAGACCCGTAGAAGTTACGAATGCTCCTATACCGCAGACTTGAAGAAGTATAAGTTCCAAAGTTTCCACTTCGGGATTTCTCGCGTAGTGGTGCATAACTTAAAAATAGAAAACATAATTAAAAACAGAAAAAATAAATCGACGGTGTAAGAAATTGGTGGACTCACGTTTTAATTTAGTCCGGTAATTCACGTAAAAGCGGGTGATTAACAATTCCGCGTAATTGTAGGTCCGATTGAATTGACTGGAATGACCTAGGTTAACTTCTCAAACTCGCGTGTAGAGCTCAACGTGATCGCGGACGTCAGCGGACGCTTGCACGCAGTCAGTGAGAGATTCGTTTCGCGTTTAAATATTTACCGATCGATCGGGGATCTCTCTCTCTCTCTCTCTCTCTCTCTCTCTCTCTCTCTCTCTCTTTTTCTCGTCCTCTTTGACTCTCAAAAACCCCGTAGTTGTTCTCGTGATAGCGACAGCGACAATAACAACAACAACGAAATAGCAACAAGAAAATAAGCGAATCGAAATAGGAGTGTAGTTGACGCGTTACTCGCACTTGGCCGCGCGACTAAATGACGTCGAGTGTGTTTTATTTAATGTTGAACGCGAAACGGAAGTAATTAGAAGTAGCCGAAGCGTAAAGAGAGAAAATGTGGGTCGCGTGGGATCGAGGGTTCGTGAGGCTCCAGCGACTAATTAAACGAGTCCCGACCACGTGGCCTCGAACATTTTGATAATTGTAGATTAATTAAAATTGCGAGGAGCCCGCTCTCGGGTCTGCCGGTTCGACTCTATCGCCAGCAGCTCGAATCTGCGGTGAGACTCCGGGCTTGCGGGCTCAATGAAACGAAAAATGTGAGAAGCTTTTAACGGCCTCTCGCGATTTCGCGGATGAGCGCGCGATCGTTGCCTCTCCCCCCTTCTTCATGCTTACCTTCTCTCGACGCCTCGATTACTTTTGCCTTCTCGTTTCTTCTGACAGTCTACAAGTAACTGTCTCTTCCTTTTTACAACACGCTGACATTTTTCAGCACGTCGACCTGCGACAGGAGATGCGTACTTGCTGACGCGCATTTCGAATCGGACATTTCGCGAATTTATGACGGACGTATTCATTAAAATGGATATGCGTGGTCCTTGTAACGCGAATTTTGAAACCGTTCGATTCAAGGGAATATGAGATTTCAAAGTTCCTCAACGATCCCTCCATCTCTCTCTCTCTCTCTCTCTCTCTCTCTCTCTCTCTCTCTTTCTCTCTTCTCACTATGTAACTTATTAATCCGAAGCGTTGTAGAAGC